TAAAAAAATTCGATACATGATTTTCACTATGCACCTGCACTATGTTTGTAATTAGATATGCATTTGACACCCTAATATCTGATCTAAATTTAGGTATATACTTGATCAAATAAGTATACAAATCTAACCAATATCGAAATGTCGGCAGACAGTCAACGTTAATTTAAATTATGTTGATTATGCTGATCAGAGTTTGATTAAATTGACTAGTCAACTTAACCTAAAACCAACATGAATCGTAACCCTCTACAAATGCACTCTCTATAAGTACACTTCTCTTTCCGTAAGTGCACTTCTTTTTCCGTGAGTGCAAAATATTTGATTTGCATGAGTTTAAATAAAGTCATGTTATTTTCTCTTCATTTTCTATAGTGCACGTCCAGATAACGTGTACTTATAGAGTCGACGATACTGTACATAGGAATTACATCATATTGATATGTTGAGCCAAAGCAGACAAATTACACATGACTAAGGATAGGAATCGATTTAGTCGACTATGTAAATTACTATGTTTGGTTCGGTTTTTCAGTGATCGGAGATTAATTTTGACCAAGCCGAGCAAATTTCTCGGCTCTGCATATCAGATCCGCAGGTAGTAATTTTTCAATTCGATTAAGAAATGATCTACGTACTAATACAAAACTTGCAAACAATCCAACCATCCATCCTTTGTCGTTTAATTGCTTATGCGGCAAGTCATTGTTTTTATGGTTAGTTATTCTTATAATTAATTAATCGGCTATCAACCGTATAGCAATATCCCAGTAAAGAATTAAAGGAGGTTAAAAAATCAATATGAGTTTTACTTCTTTTGAATTAATGTATATGATACATTTAATAAATTTATTTTTGGTAACGTTCAGATCCAAAAAATCAATATCCAATAGTAATTCTTTCAGTTACTAATGATCGATTCTAAACATAAATTGACATAACGAAAATAGATGTAATAATGTATTACTACATATTAAATGTTAAGAAACAAATGCAGTGTAACAATGATAGACGAATTATTACGTACGATAATTGAAGGCTATAACTGAGTATTGCAATGAAAAAGATTCTGTCGAAACTACCTTGGCATATATGAAACATGTGATGTATTATCTTTTACTTACCACCTGCATTGGCGTTTCCTGACACTTGAGGAGGTTCTATAATATTTCCTGACTGGGTCCGATTTCAAACATTCGTCTCGAAATGTGATCTTATCAAGTCACTCTTTTGAGTAGAAAATCACTCTAAAGGAACCTCTATACCTATTTACGGATTATAACCATTTACGGATACCTGGCATTCATTAGAAATATGCGTTTAATTACGATGATCTTTTGTATAAAAAATGCACATGGCTAGTATAAATAATGAACATATGTGTTTATATGCAGACGCGCGATTAATTAACTTCATCCAAAAATAGTTATGATCTGCTGAGAAGACAGAAAAGATTCTCGGCACCAGACTTTTAATTCTTCCATTTATCTTTATATTTCCCTTTCTCTCTTTATACCTTTCCCGCCAGAGTGTGCGCTCTTTCGCCACTAGATAGTAACGATTCCAAATAGGCTTGCTTCTTTTTTTCTCACCTTCTTCCCATATAAACCTTGATAGATATCTTTCTTCCTTTCCTCTTTCTTTAAAGAAATACCTCACGCTTTGTTCGGAGGCAACAAAAAAAACAAAATAATAATAATAATATATATATATATAATTTATCCATTGATATAGGCGTTAAAGAGGGTAAGTTAATCAATTACCGGTTTTTACGAATTTTGGTTATTATTCTCTTTTTACTCTGTAGGTTACCTTATTATAAAATCAACTAACTTATTTTTTCCTTACGATATTACCCTGTGGTTCATTATATGTTTTCCTTCATCCTCTTGATTTATTCTTATTCTCAAAAGGCGCACATCATAACTTAAACATGCGTATTATACACTTTACTTTTATATTTATTTTCATAACGATCTTTCTGGGATCTTGGAATAGTGCAAGTGCTAAAAAAATAGATATCAATGCTGAAAACTTGTCACGTCGGTATAATGGCGGTTCCATAAGTAGGGATAATTTGGTAAAGAGGCGCCCAAATCGCATTCAAGAAAGAGCAGTTCCTCCAAAAAGTTCTTCCACAAGTGCGCCAAAAGCGCAAGGGGGTAACCCGAGTAATTCTGTTAAAAACACAGATGGTAAACTGATTAATGATAAATCACCTGGTAAGGCATTTATTCCTTTCGGATTAATATAGTATTTAGTATGTGAATAATAATACTCATTGCCTTTGAACATATCGATATATATTATTTATCATCGTTTAATTCACAAAATAACCTTCGCATGCGGATTCTCTTTCACGCCTTCGCTTTCGCGCCTTCGCATGCGGACTCTTTTTAGCTCAGGGACAGGGTCAAGATATAAGTTCTGGTGGACAGCCGGTTGATACTGGCCCGTCACCATCAGCTCTTATCGCGGTTGGTGCTGTTTGTGCTGTATGTCTTGTAGTTGCTGGCATTTTCACGGTCGTAAATAGGAGAAAGCGTCAGGAACTTACTGACAGCATTGTTGCTACGTCAGCTGTTGCATGGGAACAACAAGATATTGAAGAATCGAAAGAAGAAGAAACGCTACAGCCCATAGGTTCATACACTGTCATTGATACGTATGTGCCGACATTGCCTGATGAGTTGGATATACAAATCGGTGACAAGGTTACAGTCCTAATGATATATGACGACGGCTGGGTACAGGGTACTAACGAGACTCAAGGTGGTGTCAAAGGTGTATTCCCACAACATTGTGTGAATATGAACATTTCCTTTAACAATAAACGTTCGAGTTCAATGGGATATACAATCGTGGACCTGAACTAAATTACGTCAAATATCATTATCATCAACATTATGCATTTAGTATTTTTTACTTTTTCTTTTATCATAATCTTTTTTTTTAAAAAAAAAAAAAATTCAAGTGTTTATATACAATAATTTTTAGTAGTTTGTAAATCCTGGTTTCGTGCTGTTTAAATTTCTTCAAAATAATCCTCTAGATAGTTAGATAATAAATCGTTTCCCCCGAAAAGTATGTATGGTTAAATATTTAACATCCCTTGATTTATTACGTTTACAGTTAGGAATTTAAATAGAGATAGAAACAACACAATTTCGTAATATATAATTTATAACATAAAGATTTTTTACCATTAGCCCATACAAACTTATATTTCGGTTTTTATATCCCGGCCGGGTCAACAAAGCGAGATTTCAAAATTTTTATTTTTTTTAATATATCTACCAATAAAAATAATAAAAATCTTCCATGCATATCATGTAACAAAAACAAAGTTGTATCGTTGAGTTCTTGCGAAATAGTGACAGTTTCAGTTTTTAATCTTTTTTTGCATTGATCTATCATAATATAAGTGCCGCCTAAATGCTAATCAGCGATATTGTATAATGCGTAATTGGGGTCTTTGCCATGAAAATCACCTTCCGACATTTCCGATCGGGTTAATTCGGATAAAAATAAAACCGAATACCGATTCATGTTCATATCATCTTTTACTTTATTGATTCCATAGTTTATCGAATAACTATTGAATCAATAAAAGTAAAAGATGATTAACATATGAATATGAACCTGTATTCGGGTTTATTTTTGTCCAAATTATCCCGATCGGAAATGTCGGAAGGTGATTTTCAAGACAAAGACCCCATATACCCAACTTTAATGAAACTTATTTTATCAGCATTCTCATAATATGTATTTTGAACTGGGCTATACTTGTTTTATTTCAAGAAAGAACCCATTTATATATGTTGTAAGTGGGAATGGAATCATAATAGAGTTCGGAATCCACGTACATCGGAACGGAATTATTGTAGATTTAGAATCCACTTAGGTTGGAACAGAACTCCAAATGTAGTCGAAATTTGAAAGCAACTTGATTCTATGAGGAAATACTTATTTGTGCGAGTGATACAAACCCAAAAAAGGAAATTCAACGTAAAATAAACCAAGTTCGTGAAAATAAAATTTAGGATTAGAACGCTGAAGTGAGATGATATAGAAATAAACGGTTTACTTCTTATATGTAAAATTTCATTTCAGTCACTTTTAATTAGTGAGCCAAGACAGGTTTAAACACCCAGTTTCTTGTATTTTCGCTTTTTTCGTTTTTTTTTCGTGTTTTTCTTTCCCTTTTTGGATTTGTATCACTCGCACAAATAAGTGCACGCATCGATAGTTAAAAAATTACAAGGTTATCGTTTTTACCTTGCAATGCATTCGAAGGTTTGCTTTCCACATATCTTAGTAACAAGTCGGCTAATAGGCGACGTAAAACCTTTATAACATGTGAAAACTTAATTTTTGTATTAAGGTTTTATAAGACCCGGCAAATATAATGATTGGGAATGCAAAAAATCGTTACTGGGTAAAAATGTATTTGCAATACATGATTTCGAGACGCAGCAGACGCAGCAGACGCAGCTTAATAAATTTGACTCAAACCTACTGGTGTTTATTGGGTCACGACAAGTTTCCAGTGTTGGAGATTATTTCTTCAATGCTCATAAGCTTTGAGAAGTGTTTATTATGCAAATAGGTAATATTAGTGCGTGTGACAAAAATAATTGTGAATGTTAAAAAATGAATGTACCGTGAGTATAGTTGTCGTCCCACTAAAATTTAGTGTAATGCTTTTAAATTTAATTATCCGACTTTTTATATGATGTGAATTTTTTTGTCATGATATTTTTGGCACGAGATTACATAATCATTTGTGCATATCACGGAAAAACTTCACATGTCATATAAAACATATAAAACGCCGGATAGCATCAATATTGGGCATACAATTTCATACTGCCCAATATTGTATACTTAATTGGCAATGCGCTGTGTTATGAATAACCCTTTCCTGAAACGACTTAAATTTCAAAACAGCGGACTCGATGAAATAATCTGGAATACACTTAATTTTGTTGTAAGTTGAATTGAAATTCTTTAACTACTCGGTCGCATTTTAGAATTCTATTACAACCTATGTTTATTAGGAATAATCTAGGTAGATTCTAAATCTACAATAATTCCATTCGACGTGTGACATATATAATCGTTACACTTAATTCGCCTATGAAATACTAATTAAAATCAAATCATTATAATTATTAGCTAAATAAAAAGATACAATTAAAAAAACGGCATAAAATATGGGGCTTTGTAGTTGAAAGTGTCAAAAAAATATGATTTCAAGATAATCAAATTTATTGTGTTCTGAAATTTTGTATTTATTGCTTAATAATTTCAGGTGATGTGCAAATCACAAATCACCTAAAAAAAAGGTTCGGGTTACATAGCTTAATGTATAAGCTCCTGTCCCCTACAGACAAGGTTGATGGGTCAAGTTTGGCTGGAGGTAAAATACTTTGTAATCTAAAAAGGAAGTCTATAATTGTTTATAAAGCTCTGTAGAAGGTATATGTTTGGTTTAAAGAATTTTTGGAAGAAAACCAATATGGCAGAGTGTAAGCACTACTATAGTGAGAAATATGAAAAATGTTATTAACATTTGTAAAAAGGATTGGCCTTATCTAATATAAAATTACCTCTGGTATAATAAAATCTGAATAAAATGTGGCTGTAGGAACTATCTTCTTTAATAAAATTTATTTCACAAGTAAAGTACATCAGAAAATTTTTTTTTTGAAGATTTGCATCAATTGTTACCAGCAGGATCGTTTGTTATTGATTTTTTTATACTATATATATTGATTATCAGCTATATATCAATTTATATTACTAATGATATATATTGATTATAGTTATACAGTATAACAATATATATCGCATATAAGCTAATTTTTGTAATTAGTCATAACTTTTAATCTATTAGTCTATTTTAAACAGTTTTGTTG